TTGAGTTTGCTCTTATGCAAGTAGCTGCTTCTTTTGATTTCAATACCCTTTTAGCTGTTTAGAAACCACGATAGCCTCTTCCATCTTTCGCTGCAAAACCTGAGATAAACGCAAAGAAATTCCTTAAACTTCTTTGTGGAGGAAAGTTTCATAGGATGATGAAATGCTTATGTTATACTTAGAGAGACATTAAAAATGTACATGCTTCTGCCTCTGGTTCAAATCCAAAAGCACATGCATCTTATACTCATTTCTCCTTTGCTCTCTTTTAAGCTGTTGAAAAGTACAATATCACATTGATGTTAGTACAGCATGGCAAAAGGTAAATATAAAACAAGTAGTAGCACACATGGAAACTTTGAGAAGCTTGACACTTTATGTGGCGTGAAGGCATTAAGGCACTTTATAAAGCTTTTGATTTTTTTTATTTGGGTTTCACATAAGTATGTGTTCCCACGGATTGGAGAAATTTTTTATGGGCATATGTAGAAATTCAGCAATAATAATGGTACTGCTTAATGGTCAAACTAAGGCGTGAAAGGATAAATTCTGTTTTTATCAACGTGAGAAGCTTTCTGGAAAGTGTGATGAAAATGGGAAGATGCTCCTCTACATTTTTTGGTACAACTGATATGGCATAGGATTTTGTGTGTGGGGGGGGGATTTAAGATGCTTTTAGTTGTGATAAAACCAGACATTTGTACAAAAACTTTTCTGGCATTTTATGGAAATGACATAGGAGATAAAATCAAGTTGTTGGGTCAGGCTCCAAAGATCTATCTAGTATGGGCATATGGGTTCTAATTCTCATTCAATTTTTTGGTTGCCTCACATTGTTGTATATGCTATAAAATTATCTTAAATAATTGTAATGGAATATGGAAAAAATAGCCCTCACATTTTACTGCAGTTTTGAAGGCTCTTTACATATCGAGGTGATAATTGCTATGTATAATTACTAAAAGAGTAACAGGCAGGTGTCTATAAAACACACACATAGTGGCAGTTTTTCATCTCAAAAGTTGTGTGATTTCACATAAAAGATATAGATGGAAGAACCTCAAATACCTTATTTTCCCCAACTGTGAATGTATCAAAATCATTTAATGTTTGAGAAATAGCCAGTGTAGAGTCAGTTACCCCTTCATGGAATACATTTTCCTTAAGCGTCATCTGGATTGTCTCTGGTACAACAATAGGATTGTTTGGCTCATGGTGCGTGTTTTCAAAAAGGCCTGCATCATGCTCCTGAGGATCATATATTTGCATGTTTTCAACCTCAGGATGCTAACAATTATTGTTTGAAGACTTAGTCAGATTAACTTCAATAGTCTGTGTTTCACACCTCTTAATAGTTCCTTCATCGCAGTGATTTGCATCATGATCCAATGTTCTCTCAGTATTTGTATGAATCAAATCAACCTATGTATCCTCATGATCACAAAGCTGGAACAACAAAGGTGTAGTTAGTGGCATATGCGAATTAAATGATGTTTGTGATCCAATTCTCGTAAAGACTAGTCGCTCTTCAAAAAGGAAAATATCCAAGAAAAAAGATGTGCATTGCTCAGCCTATAAGAATAAAGGTCACAGGATTACCACATGTCCTCTTTTGTTATATATGGATGATGATGAAAATATCTCTTCTTTTCAGGACTCAAAAGATAATGTGATTTCCATCTCTTCGTTGAGCCTTTTTTATTTTTCTCATGTTTATTATGCGTAAAAATATAACTCCATATATTCTAATGATTATTTTAATAGGATGAAGAATCATTATTTAGTCAAAGCTACACAAAAAATGTGAAGCACGCATATAAGAAGCCTATTCAGGCCGAGGAGAGAAAGGTGTATTTTATTGCTTGTTTAGTATTTGTAAGGTTTAAAGTTGCACTATTTTCCTTACTTTATCAACTGTTACAGCCATTAAAGCGCAAGAGTGATAGATCCTCACGGAAGTTTTCGAATAATGAGATAAGAAATGCTACTGCTCTTGAAGATCCAGAAAAAATACTCCTAAAACAGGTCTTATCCTTTCCGTCAGTACACTCCACAAGTGCTTCCTCCGCACAACAATTGGCTTATATGTCTGTAAGTATAATTTACTTCAAGCTTTTAATGAAATTTTATAATTATGCATACTGTTTTTTGATATTTATGGCATTTTACCCTACTCCAATGACAACACGTACACTAGGGATTGAATATGATACCTCCCCACAATAACATGGCATTCAACATATCTTCGTCACCTCATGGGTTTTATTCTACTCCAATGTAGTGCAAGGAAATTAAACTGTGAGGCAAGCTTTGCCAACATCGAGTGTGTAGTGCAGGACCTATGTTTGAAGACAACGATTGGTATGGGTGAGAAGGAAGGAGGACTCTATTACTTCAAGGAGCTTGACAAAAAGATTGCGTGCAGTGCAAAGAACGAGAATAATTTTGATCTTTGGCATAAGTGCCTCACACATTCTTCTTCTCATGTTTTGTCCCTGATCCCACAGGCTAGGAACTCTATATGGAAAATAAATACAGAAAGAAAGAAAATAAATATACATCGAGAAACTACCATAATAATATATAAAGAGAATATATGGAAATATATTCTTTCCTTTAACACACACCCCCCTCCCCAAAGTTGGAGCATGCAAAAGTGAAATGCCCAACTTGGGAATAAGAAACTCCAGACGAGATTTTCCCAATGCCTTTGTATGAATAACTGCAAGTTGATGCGTAGTAGGCACATGATGCGTACGAATCATACCATGAAGAAGCGCATCGCAAACAAAATGATAGTCGATCTCAGTATTCTTTGTACACTCTTGAAAAACTAGATTAACGGCAATATGAAGTGCCGCTGTGCTGTCACAATGAATGGTCATGGGACGATCGTGCAAGACTCCCAGAAAAAGCAAATAATTCTTCAACCACTTCAACTCACAAGTAATAGCAACAAGAGCATGATACTCTGTAACGCCCCAAAAATAGACCTATCAGAATTAATTAATTGATAAATAAATAATTACTGAGAATGACCCAAAAGTAAGTGATTTTTAAAAGTTTGTCAATAAATAATGAAATTATATCGTTCTGAAGAGTTTGACTCTCTGATCGCAACAGTTCAATCGGATTTTAATTTAGAGAAAGTTGAACTGAAAAGTGCACCCCGACTGGGACCAAATTAGTCCCAATCAGGGGAAGATGTGCAAATCTTTGAATGGCGCCACTCACTCCACTCAGCCGATTACACAGGGAAAGGAAGCAACGTAAACTTAGCTTCTTCACCATCACCATTCCTATATAAGAGTACCCAAGCTCCCTCATTTCTTCACCAAAACATCTCACTCTTATTTCGATTGTGTTGCTCTGACTGAGGAGAACACACTAGTACTGTCAATTTTGTGAGGGGTCGCCAGAGTTGGGAGTTATCGTCGCCGGAAGTTTCGCTGGAAAATTCTCAAAACCTTTATTTGAGCCCAAAGTAAGCCCTTAAATATATCTAGTGACTAGAATGTTCGTATAGATCGTTTTTAAGTTCATAAACAGTCGTTTGATTGAGTTTTGTGTTTGACATGTTTGAAGAACCAAGAATCATAAACCTTGAAATTAATGTTAAAACTACGAACTAATGATACCAAAATGATCTGTGAACCCTAGAGAATATTTCTATATTGTTTAATTGAAGTTTTGTGGCTAAAAATGTAACACCCCAACCCACGTAACCCGAACCAACGGATTAGCGAACCGGGTTATTCGCAAGCATAAATTTTCTTTTCCAAAATAACAATTAAATCAAATTAATCAATTATAAAATTCGTCCGTAGAGTTTTAACTAAACCCAAATTCATCAGAATAATTAAATAAATCCAAACGTCGCGGAAGCATAAGAAAACCAAAGTAACGTCCAAATGTTCATATAATCAAATAAAATAATGTAGTTTAATTATTAAAGTAAACAAGAGCCAACCACGCCATACCACCACTTCACTGCCCTCCGGGTTGCCCATCCAAACTTGTGTTCCTACCTCGAAATTTGACAAATTCAACCTTTGATTGGGAAAGACTAGCTGCTGCAACTCCTCCCTGGTATCGCTGGCATGCTGCGCGCGACGGAGGAAGGAGAGGAGGATGTCGGCGGCAACCAAGTGGTGGCTCTAGTCGGCGTCTCCGGTCGGCGTCTGTGGTCGGCGTCCTTGGTCAGCGGCTCCCCCAGCGGAAACGTACAGCAACGGGAGAGGGAGAGAGATGGAGTCGCTGATGCTTGTTTCCTTGGGACGAGACCGTCGGCTGGCTATGGAGTCGCTGGATGTCGCCGGATGGAGCAGAGAGGAACATACGCAGAGCAGAGAACGGCCCGAAGAACAAACGGATGGAATCCTAATCTCGAAACCCCCTTCTTATTTAATATAAAATTAAATAGGTTTTTAGGGTCCATTTACACTTCTTAACCAATTAAGATAAGTTTGAGCCCAATTATCTTATTCGTCACTCATATCTTGTGCCCAGTAACTCTGATTAAATAGGTCAACTCTCATATTAAATATGCATAGGTCAACTCTCATATTAAATATGCATATCAGAAAATAATCTTCGTACTAATTAATTAATTCTATAAATTAATTAAAATATATAAGTCAGGTTTCGGGGCGTTACAAAAAATGGTATTTTCAAAAATAGACCCGATGAAGCAGACGATGAAATAGTAACCTTCTGCAACTCGGTCTTTATGATCAATCCTGAGGGGTGTATCGATCACCTGGTGATCGATCACCAGCTCTGGATCGATCCCCCGAGCTGTGTGATCCTAAAATGTTTCCGAAAACGTTATTATTGGAGCTCTAAAATCTTATTTTTGATACCAATTAATTATGATCAATATAAGGATGATTTTTTGAAATAAAAATGATGTTTTTGACAAATAAAATCTTATTTGATGTATGACGGTAAGCTTGGGTGTTAACACTCGACGCTTAAGTGTTCTAAAAGGAGGCTCCTAGATGTTCCACAGTCAGCTTCAGAATGGCGACATGAGCATGAGAAAACGAGGAGTTTAGATAGAGGGAATTAACATGAAAATGGAAGTGCAGAGAAGGGAGTGGAAAAGTACTTGCTCCATGAAGCTTAAAGTGCCAAAGGCTGCCACGTCCTGGCGATGGTTGATGTCGCTGGGGGCTGGCATTTAACTAGCTCACGGACACTTTCAGTCATCTTCCTCCCCTGGGCATGAGCTTCCTTGGCAGACAAGAGACTTTCCCAAATAGGAGCCCAGTTTTGTTTAAACAAAGTTAGAGCTCTCCAGAGTAAATTTGCAGTTGGAAACCGGATACAGGTTCGCCTTGGCAGAGGAAGATCCCTGGATGGGATAACCGGAAGGGGTTAGATCCTTGGGCGATGAGGTATGGGTGCTAGCAGGGCAGTTTGGTGTGACTCCACTCTTAGACAGAAGAACGTGCACAGCATCCTCGGAAGATGGCCCAACAGAATGAAGCTTGGCCACCTCAATAAGTCCCCCGGAGGGATTACCGCCCATGGCAGCGGATACAACTACCTCTTGCCGAGTCACCCGGCTTTCCCCTCCAAGAAGGATATCCAGGGGGAAGGGCCTGGAGTAATCTCCACTAGAAGGGTAGAGACCATTTCCTGTGCTAGGGAGATCATGGGAATGAGAGAGTTAGTAGGAGTTGCTTCTAGGAATAAAATACTAGAAGGTCCAGAAGGCCCATGCTCTACTCGCATCTCATAGGCTAGAGGTTCCGGGGAACCCCTCGTTTCAGCACCCGAGGAAGAAGTTGGCTTACCTTTGTCAAGGGGAACGATTGTGTTTTTTCCAGAAAAAGGAAACCAGCCAAGTGGAACACGTGATCTGTGTGAAGATTCTCATGTTCAATAAGGGTGTCGTTCTTTATCTCCTCATAGGGTTTATCGGCTCAGGAACTCTTGGAAAATGGAGTCTGTGAAAGGTTAGACCGCAACAAAAAACCTTCTTTGCCAGTGTGGAATTTTTAGCTCCACCTTCGTGAAAATGGGGTGCTTTTGATGAGGGAACACATTGAAGTAAGGAATGCTGAACAAAATCATGAAGTCCTCGAGTGAGGGGGTCTTCCCTTGCTGTGGCAGGGAAGGTTGTAGGAAGTAAGGTATTTGTGGGTATTGGATGTGAATTACCCCGGAGGTATCTCCCATGTCGTCGTGCATACCTCGCGGATGAATGAGTGCAATGGGAGTCTGAACTATGGGGGATTAAGTCATAGTGCATAGCTAGGAAGTGCTCCGGCTCTGGATTATAAGCAAGATTGATCCCGCCCAGGGCATTAAGATGATAGACTTTGAACAGATCTCCCAGAAGGTCACGCATGAGGACAAGCTCCGAATCCTTAATTGTGGAGGATTCGGGCCGCCATTGCTCAATGTCGGAAGATTGGGAAGTCATGCTACAGAAATTTGGGAAGGATAGCGTAAACAGGTGGCCGAAGTGGAGTGGGTTTATCGATCTTACGGCTCGAATTTCAAGTGAGGAGTGGGATTGTTTTGGATCTGGCACGATGATCAAAGGCGGCTTATCATTAGTTCCATGGTGACGCGTCACTAAGGAACTAGGGAGCTTGTGATGGATATCCGGGCCTGGTAATCGGATAGGGACAACGCAATTGCGATTCCACGCCCCAACAGGAATATAAATCCAACCGCAGAACGTAGAAGCACGAAGGTGGACTCGGAGTGTCGGTTCAGACCCGATACCCAAATGAAGTGTGATTCCCCAAATCATATGATTGAAGGGCAGTTGATGATGATCCCCCGCCACGATTGATGCATGATTGGAGAGCTATCGATAATGTAGTGCATGAAATGTTACATGTTTTGTATAGGGTAGAAGTAGACTACAAATAGAGGGTAAACCCTCCATTGTAACCCAAGATGAATATTGCTTATATAAACACGCGAGAGTTCTTATTTTCTCTAAGACAGTTCTTATTATTCTATTGTTCTTCGCACGCCATAGTTGTTGGGCTAAATTCCATCAGTGCATATAAAAAATACAAGATAAATTCTCTCAAATATTATTCTTTCGAAACACCAAATGATCTTTGATATGTTTTTCTTTTTTGCACAAATCTAAACAACATGATTTCCCATTTTGATAAACTTCGCCGCACGAAAAACTGAAAACCTTTTTAAACAAAGAAACGGTTTTTTCACAACACAAACATATACTCCCTCTGTCCCCCAGTTTTTGTCTACTTTTGACTTTTGGACTATTCATCTAAGCACTTTGACTCATCAAATTCTCTCAATGTGTAAGTCTAAATATAGTCATGTGTGATCTTGTTTGATTTGTCTTAACATATAGATTATTAATATATAATTTCTATAATTTTTTAATATACAAATTACAAGATAAAATAGATTAAAGAAGTGCATTGGATGATGTGTAAAAATGAAAGTGGACAAATACTCTGGGACGGAGGGAGTATTTATTTATGTGTCAACAAGAATGTCATGTTTGGTTTATGGTGTATCTCGTTATCTCTTTCGAACGTAGCCTATACAATTTGACATTACATAACCCGATAAATGATTTGCAAAAAGACCGGATCACTGGCTCGGGCATGTGGCATGTATGCCAAATCTGAAAATAGCGGGCTTGGGCTTGAATTTTTTAGGTAAAGGATGGCGCGGACCGTAATAAATGGGGGTTAGTACACTTGTGGGTAATGAATGGGTTTTATGGGTCGGCCTTCGCAGAGGCGTATTGCATGAACACACAGCAAGATAGCCGATGAGTCAGATGAGACGATGAATAAAAAAGAAGCTAAGCAAATGTTTACGTGTTCCTAAGGTCCATATTGATCTTATGAACCTTAGTATGTTGATATCATAAAAGAATTGAGTCTTTTCAAAAAAGAAAAGACCCAGTTGCAAGCCCAAGAAAAGTGCAAGAGGGCCCATATATCACATATGGACCTTAAACCACGAAAGAGCTACTCAAAAAACTAGTACCTTTCATAAAATATTGGGGTACTAGGATCTGAACGATAACTTATATCTAGGGCTGGGCCAGAGGTATAATAAAACATGTGCCCCTATATTTTGGAGGCTTTATGCAAGTGAACCTAATGCACTTGTTGATGGGCGGGCCTGCTTGAAAGGAGACATGACTGAAAAGTAATGAGATGAAGGTGTAGATTATTTTGATTAGTCGATGTGAATATGTATTAATTTTTTTCGGTTGAAAAGAATTTCTTTTTAAAAGAAGAAAACGACCACCACAGCAGAATAACTATCACAACCAAAGAGGCAATGCCCCTTCACGCCGAGTATGACATGGGAAATGGGGGTTGGGGGCGTGAGGGCTAGTAACGCCTTGGAGGCACACCCCATTATGGATGGCCTAAATATTTTAAATTTCATGAATAGTCTACTTTTTCGTAGAACATTCAAAAAATTAAGGGGCTTGTTATTATGAATTAGGTTGACTTAGTATGAGTTACTAAGTTTATATTTCAACTTATTCTTATTACTTATTACTTTTTCTTATAGAACCAGATCAAACTAGATGAGACCAGACCATATAAAATTAAATCAGACCAAAAACAGTTTTAAATATAACTAAATTGAGATCAGATCAAACCAGATCAAAACCATTCATATGAAGTTACGAAAGCATGACCTTAGTCTAATACATCCAATCTATTTCATTGCTAGATTGATGTGCCCAAACTACGTGTAACCTCAAGATTGAATCTGGTTGAAGCCCACAATGAAATAAAGGATAAAGGCCGGCCTGGAACTCAGGTAACT